CGTCACTTCCTCCACTCTCTCCTCGCGTAGTCCCAGCGCGCCGCCAGGCCCTGCACCGGGTTGCTCTTCATGTCCAGCACGCGCTGCAGCTGCCGCGCCTTCCACTCGTCCGTCAGGGTGACGGGCTTCTCCGGGAACACTGCGGGGAGGCCGCGTGAGCACAGCCCCCGGCCGGCCCCGCCTCAGCCCCGCGCCCGCCCAGCGGCGGAGCGGGAAGCAGCCTCGAAGACCACCCGGACCTAAGTCCCGGCTCCACCGTGCCCTTGCAGTGTGGCCTTGAGCCGGTCACTTCACCTCTCTGAGCCTCGGACCCCTTACCAGTGGGCACAATGTTGGACCGATACAAAGCACCCACTGAACGTTACCACTGAACTATAGTTACGGAGTTTGCTTCTTCTCACCGGGAAGGGGTCTGGGTGAGACAGTTCCTTTTGTTTTCGGGGGTGGGGGTGGGGAGTGGGGAATGGAAGGCAGGTACAGGGTGGCTTATTTTCTATCTAAATGAGGTCTCTATATACCGAAGTTCAGCCTGACTTTGAACTCAGTATGTAGCTCAGGCTGCCTCCAACTCAGTGATCTTCCTGCCTCAGCCTCCCTGTGCTGGGATTACAAGTGTGCACCACCACACCTAGCTCCAGGGTGGTTAGTTTAAAAATCTAGGAAGGTGTGGTGACACTCTCCTGTAGTCCCAGCCTATGCAAGAGGCTGAGGCAGGAGGATCACGAGTTTGAGTCCAGTTAAGACAACTCAGTGATTTAATAAGACCTTATCTCATTTTTTGTAATTTTACAATTTTTGTAAAGTGTATTGTGAGACCCATGGGTTCTAACCCAGTACAATCAATCAGTCATCTGGGGAGGGCAAGGCTTAATCGAAAGGCTGAAGCACTGGGTTTGAGAAGCCCTGCTGTGTGTGTCAGGAAGGCTGAAGGCTGGAGCTCCCAGCACTTATTCCCAGCCACTGCCCCTGGGCTGACCTAGCCATCCAGATCTCTGTCCCTGGTGCTTCCATCCCGAGATGGCAGAAAGGGAGTGACTTTAATGAGCACCTACTAGGTGCCAGACACTGGGCTAGATGAAGCCATTCCTGGAAGCTCTTATTTCATCCTCAGGCAACTCGGGGATTCCGGTCACACTTTATACAGGAAAGAAGATGAGACTCTAGGGACACTCAACTGAGACTGACTGCCAGCTCTTCCTCAATATCCTCTGCCTTTTTTTTTTTTTTTTGTACTGAGGATTGAATCCAGGGTCTTTACACTGAGCTACATTCTCATTCCTTTTTTGTCTTTTTATTTTAAGACAGGATCTTACCTCAAAGACAGAGTTGAGCTTGAACTTGAGATCCTCTTGCATCAGCCTCCCAGAGTGCTGGGATTATACACCTGCATGACCATGCCTAGTTTGCATCCTACCCTCATTACCCACAGTGTGCTTCTCCAATGTGAGTGAGCACTGGAATCAGTCGGAAAGAAGGCTGTTAAAATGAAAACTACACGTAGGCTGGGGATATAGCTCACTGGTAGAGTCTAGCATTCATGAGTTGAGTTCCCACTGCCAACATTGCAAATAAAGAAAAAAAAAATTTCCTGGGTTTGACACCCAAAGTGCCTAACTCAGTAGATCCAGAATGGTGCTAAGAATCTACACGTCTAACAAGTTCCTAGGTGATAGTGTTTGACCAGGGATGACATTTTGAGAACCATTTTTCTGAGGAACTAAAAGCTCAGTGGACGTGTGGTTTCCAGCAAATACTACATTTCCCAGCTTCCTTTGTAGCTAGGCAAGACCATGTGACCACCTCCAGCCAATAGGGTATGAGCAAAAGTAGCCATCTTGTATGAGAAGATGGAAGCTACAAGGTAAGGATAGTAGAAGGAACTGTTCTGAGGTGGCACATGCTTATAATCCTAACTACTCAGAAGACTGAGACAGAAGAAAAAAGAAAAAGCCGACGTGGTGGCACATGCCTGTAATCCAAGTACTCTGGAGGCTGACACAGGAGGATTGTTGCTAGTTTGAGGCCAGCCTGAGCTGCATAGTGGGACTCTGTCTGGAAATAAAATAGTAATAATTTTAAAAGAAAAAGAAAAAAAAAGCAAAGAAAAAGGAGCTTGCTTTCTGGAATATCAACTGTTATCTGAATTGTGTACTGTTTTTATGTATATGAGAAAGGAATAAACTGTCTTGTTTAAGATCTTGTATGTTGAGAATTCTTGTTACAGCAGCACCTGAAACAGTATACTGGAAAAAACATGGCTAATACACAGTAATCAGTAAAACATTGCTCATAACTATGTACCAGCAGTGGCCTACACCTTCTCACAAGAACCCTGAGAGGTAGGTATTATTATTCCCATTGTGCAGATGAGGAAACTGAGGCGCAGAGAGGTAGACTCCCTGCATTCTAACCCAGGCAGGTATGTTCTGCCTTTTACCCTCGACCTTTCTAGAAGCTTTTTAAAACTCTTCACACAAATCCCAGCATGATTCCCTGAAGAGAATGGTCAGCAGCTGTGGCCACGAGGAAATGGCCCAGGCTGCAGGCAAGGCATGGCCACTCACCATAGACCCTCATCCACCAAATCATCAAAGCCGTTATTCCCATGAAGAAGAAGACACAGCCCGTCACCGTCTTCCACTCATTGGAGCTCTGGTTCATCTCTGCGAAGGTCTGCTGGAACTGGATCCGGTACACTGCAGGAGGTGGGGTGGGAAGGGGCCTCAGGCACATCCACCCCAGGGGCCCAGGGCCAATGCTTGGCCCCAGGGATCCCTGGCCTCCCTCTTCCACAACAGAGGCTGGTCAGTCAGTGGGTTCTCAGTGAGCGTCTCCCGGCTCCGAAGCGTGGCCAGGAACTGGGGACCTGGGAGTGATGAGGAAGCCGAAATCCCTGCCTTTGTAGAGCTCCGGAGGGGACACTGATGGCAACCAAGGTAGAGAGGCTGTGGGTGGGGCCACTTCAGTTAGGCTGAGGTCTCTCAGAGGGTGCAGGAAAAGTGGAGGAAAAAAGACTGGAAGCAGAAGGGGTAGGGGAAGGCGCCTGAGGCCCTGTGGCAGCAGTGAAGTGGACTCAGAGGACATGTGACCAATGCGGAGTAGAAGCAGCCAGATCACACGGGACCTGGCTAGCCGGGGGCGGAGGGGCTTGCATTTCATTCTGTCTGAACCGGGGAGGGTGGATTTTAGGTAAGAAGGCAACAAAATCATGCTTTTGTTTGACTGCAACTTTTATCAGAACCGTTCCTGAACTTCACTTCCCTCACACAGAGTATTTTTATTTATCTGCTCTCTGATTACTGCTTGTCTTTCCCACTGGACTGTAAGCTTCAGGGGACTGGGGCCCCGTTCACTGCTGCGTTCTCAGCACCCAGAACTGTGGTGGCTCACAGGAGGCTCCTCTCTCTTTCCATCTCCCTCCTCTCTCCTTATCAATGTATTTCAAATTATGAAACTTTTATTTTGTGGGCTGGGGATGTGGCTCAGCGGTAGAGCTTCTGCCTTGCATGTACAAGGCCCTGGGTTCAATCCTCAGCACCACCGTTGCTCTTAGACCAAGAATGTTATTGGTGAAACTGTGTGAGCAAGGGGGGTGAGGGCGGGGAGCCCCAGGACCCAGGCAGGCAGCGTCTCTCCAAGAACACACAGGCCGGCCGGGAGCTGCAGGAAGGAGACTGGCTCTCTTCCTCTCCTTCCTTGTTCTTTCTTCTTTCCTTCCTCCTTTCTCTTTTACAGTCCTGAGTTACCTGATATATGCAATCCCCCCTCACTGTGTTAAACAGATGCGAAAATAAACAACTAAAGGAAAATCAAAGCCGGCGGCAGAATTCCTGGGGTGAGACAGAACACCAGACGCAGGAGGAGCTCAGCTAGGGGGAGCCGTCTGGGGAGAGTCTGACTCCAGTGGTGTGGGGGCGCCGGGCGGGCTGGGGCAGGGGAGCAGGGGAGAAACATGCGGCACAGGCAGGAGTGAGGAGCAGTGAGAGCCCACGCCCTGCCCTGCCATATCGGAGGTCAGAGTTACCCGCTGAGCCCGGATGCCACCCCATACCCCACCGCACCCTCAGCACCACAGCTGAGAGCCCCTGGTGCCAAGCTGTGGACCTCAAAGCCTGTCTTCCCCACTGCAGCTGTGGGGAAGGAGGTGTCCGTTTCTGAAAAGGAAGAAAGGGAGAGGGACACAGCGCGGGAGAGGAGAGGGAGGCGAAGGGAAAGCACTGGGGCAGTTTCCAGGGCAAGGGTGGGCCCGGCTGGTCCCAGCCACATTCCAGGGCCTGGCCTTGCAGTGGGTGCTCAGTAAGATACCAGGGGAGGGAGGGAGGAAGGGCAGGCACCTCTCCCACTGGGAACCCCTGAAACGCAGGGTACAGGCTGGGCTCCCCCAGTTGTGGAATGAGACTAAGAAGCCCCCATATCAAAGGCTGGGCCCAGCCGGATGTGGTGGCACACGCCTGTAATCCCAGCACTCGGGAGGCTGAGGCAGGAGGATTGTTGCAAGTTTGAGACTAGCCTGGGCTACAAAGTGAGCTCAAGGCCAGCCTGAACTGCATAGCAAGACCCTGTCTCAAACAGACAAAAAAAAAAAAAAAAAAAAAAAAAAAAATGCTAGGCCCAGGGGCTCTGACGGGCAGCGCAGGGGCCACACGTCCCTCCTGCCCCGCAAGGTCAGACCCCTGCTCCCTGCCCACCACCGCTGCCGCCTGTCCCCTGCTATATGATTCCAGGATCCTCCACAGCTCCTGCTGTGCCACCACACTCCCGCCACTCTGGGGCTGGCAACGCCCTCCGCTGGAGGCCTCCAGTATCCGCTTCTGGTCCTCACCCCTGGGCACAGCCCATTGTAGCTGCAGATCCTGTATTGCAGAGTTGGGGTCTATGTCACTTACTCACTCTGGTCGGGCAGGGACTGTGACCTGCTGTTCGCCTCTTGTCCCCAGCATTGCTCAGCCTCAGGCTGTGCACAAAAGTTGAGTTCCTTAAAGAATGAATGCAGCCAGGCATGCGTCTAGGTGGCTGAGGCAGGAGGATCCCAAATTTGAGCCCAACCAAGAACTTAGTAACTTGGTGAGACGGTTGTCTCAAAACAAAAATAGGCTGGAGATGTAGTTGAGTGTGAAGGTTTTGGGTTCAATCCCCAGTACCACCAAAAGGAAAAACAAACAGGAAGACCAAAAGAATATACCTCACCCCCAGGTGTGCGTTCAGATGTCTGGCCAGGGCTCTCTGGCTGCCACCCCTCCCTGCTCTGCCAGGCCACTCACTGCAAAGCCCCCCATGCACCCACACTCCCCACACTGAGACCTACAGGCCACCTTCTCGGCGTGGCTCAGCTGCGTCCAGCTGCCCTTCTCCTTTTCCTTCAGGACACGCTGCTCGGCACTGAGGTCCGTGCAGAAGGGCTCGTCCGGCATGGGGTAGTAGCGCTGCGCACAGTGGTTGGTATAGGGGGGCATCTTGCCCTGGCCGCCAGCTGCAGGCACAAGGAATGGAGCTATGTCCAGGCTGCCCCTGGGCTGCCCACCCCTAACCATGAGGGCTGCCTTTATGGGCACTAACTATGCTGGAGCCAGTTTAAGGCTTTCACCAGCCCCACATTTTTTCTTTTTCTTTTTTTTTGAGACAGGGCCTCACTTTGCAGTTCAGGCTGGCCTTGAGCTCACTTTGTAGCCCAGGTTGGCCTCGAACTCACAACAATCCTCCTGCCTCAGCCTCCTGAGTGCTGGGATTACAGGCATGCGCCCCCACGCCCGGCTTCCATATTATTCTGAGGAAGGGACATTAGGTGCCACCAAGCAGCTAAATGGCTTGCTGGAATTCACCAGGCAAGAAGGGGCAGGGCCCAGACTGCAGCTCGGCCCCTCTGGAGTCCGACCCCATGTTCTCCAGGGAGATCTGAGCAGGGAGGTCATGTGTGGCAGGGGCCACAGTGGGCACAGACTTGAGGCAGGATCTGAGGTACTGGATGAGGAAGCACCCCACAGGCTGCAAGCACTGTGCATGGGCCTTCTCGGGGCCGAGGGCATGGCTTTGGAGCCAGCTGGGTGTGAGCCTCTGTTTGACCTACTCCACCTCTAACGTGCCTCCATGTCCTCATGAGGACAGTGGAGGTGACAGGGGCGCCTACTTTCTAGCTAATGCGCTCAGAAGGCTTCACATGGTGCCTGGCACACAGTAGCTGCTCAGGAAAGCACCCCTGCTCACTGAGGTGGCTTTTACTACGGCCTCCGCTCCTCGAAGCTCCCCGATGGGTCAGCCCCTCACATTCCTCAAGAGTACCCAGCACACCCAGAATAAGCTTGGGCACTAGGGAGGGGCTCCCTAAAGCTTCTATTTACTGACAGCAGAGTTGTCCACCGGGGGGCATTGGTTGCCACCTTAAGGCATACTGTTGGAGTTGCCTCATACAAGGAGTCCTGCCTCTTCAGTATCTGAGACCCAATGTGCTCATCAGAGATGAGGGAGCCCAGTCTCTGCCTCACAAGGTTCTTGTGAAGGCTAATGTTTATTGCAGCTTGGAGTACCTGGAAAGGGTCTCATCCCATCCTCCCGAGGGACAGGAAGCTCCTTCTGTAGCCTGGCTGAAGTTGCCCCTGCTCTCACCTGTCTTCTGCATGGCAGGGGCACCAAGGAAGCATGTAGGGGCCAGGGCTCCGCAGAGCCCCCACCTCCATCCACCTCAGCACACAGCGGTGCCCAGGCTGAGGTGTGGGGTCAGGCCTGGGGAAGCTTGGAAGAGGGGTCTGCGGTCTGCTCAGCCATGGGCTCCCTCTCCTGGAGGAACTGGCTGAGGACCAAGGAGTGGGATGGAGGAAAGCGGTCTGGAGGAAGCCTTCGGAAGGGACCTGGTCCTCACTAAGTCTGGAGTTAAGTCCGGAAAGGGGTCCAGGTCTTACCGGCACCTCCTGGGCTGTGTGTCCCCCGAATTCCAGGTCCTCTCCTCAGTACCAAGCTCCAGGTGGCTCTGGACAGCATCTGGGATGGGGGTGAGAGGTGAATTCTGCCCCACAGGGCCCTTCAGCTGGGGGTTCCCAGGGTTTGAAGGTCACCCATATGCCCCTGAGCCCACATGGAGGGGGACTTGGAGGTCCTAGACGTTTCGACCCCCTTCTTGGGCCCTCAATTCACCATTTCAAAAGCGGCAGGAGGCTCACCTCACCAGTGAGGTCTGAGCAGTTGGGGCTGGGGTCCTGGGTTCTGGGCCTGAACAGAGGGCAGCCCTGCTCTGCTGTCCGCCTCCAGGGGAAACTAGGGGGGGACCGGGTAGGAAGAGGCAGGTCTGAGCACTCCCCATAAGGGCCATCTGCAGAGGTCTCTGAACAGATGGGGGGGCCCTCCCCCTAATTGGCTGCCTACGTGCAGGGAGCCTGCTGGAGCTGGCAGGGAGGGGCCGGGTGTGCCCCACCCCCACCCCAGGGGGAGGTCTTAGGGTCTGGCCTCCCATGGGGGTGGGGAGTGGTTTCAGAGGATAGGGACCAAACTAGGTCAGAGGGAGGGAGAGGAGGGAGCATCCCACTTCTGGGGAGACAAAGGAGCCCCCACATCGGGAGAGAGGGGGCATCCCACTTTTAGGGAGACAGAGAGGCACCTCATAACTAGACAGCACAGAGGGCACCCCGCGGTGATGAGCCCAGGACCCCAGCTGGTAGAAAGGCTGGGGTAGGTGATGGGGGCTGGGGGAGCCCCGCTGTGTGGAAGCGGGGGGAGCAGTCTGCGCCCGGGGAAAGGAGTGCGCCCGCGCCCTCGAAAGGAGAGGGTCACTGGTGAGGGTTCCCGACACTGCTCTGGCTGGGGCCCCAGGATTCGACCCGGGGAACGGGGTGTCAAAGCCGGGGCGGCGGGGTCCTCGCACCCACTCACCTCGAGGGCTGGCGGCGACAGCGCAGAGCGACCACCCGGGGCTATAGTGAGGATTGGAGAAGGCGCTGCTAGGGATGAACGCGGCGCCGCCCCCGGGCCCGCCCCCGCTGTCCCCCGCCCCCCGCGTGGGAACGTCCGCCTCGGCGCCGTGGGAGCAACGGCCCGCGTCCCTGGGGGCGCCCGGGCTAGCAGCCTACCGGGAGCACTGTGACCCGCGCCCACCCTCGGGGTCCTGCCTCGGGGACCCTCAGCCACAGTGCCGGGAGGCTGCGTGCTGGGGACCCCGGGAGGCTGCGTGCTGGGGACCCCAGGAGGCGGGTGTCACGACTGTCGGGCCTTTGCCTCTTGCAGCTTCACCTGCAACGCCTGCTTCAGCCCAGCCATCAGCCCAGCCGGAGCCAAGCGCTGCGGACTCCAGGAAGCCTTCCCTGAAGGCTGCGGAGCGGGTCTGGCGGGTGGGAGGGCTCCCTCCCTGTGAGGCTCAGCTGTTTTCTTTCCAGTGAAAGGGAGGTGATGATAGCTTCTCCCTCACATGGCTGTGGTAAGGACCGAGTCTGTTAATAGAAAAGCCCCACTTACATTTATCCTAGAATTATTTATTCAGCTACTCAGGAGGCCAAGGTGGGAGGACTGGAAGTTCTAGGCCAGCCTGAGCAACCTAGCCAGACCACTCCTTCTTAAAAAAAAAAAAAATTGAGACCTATTCCAGTCGGCGTTTTATTACCAAGCCAAATGCTGCAGGATTTGGAGCTGAACAGGGCAGACAAGGTTCCTGCCTTCACAGGGCTCAAAGTACAGTTCCAGGCAGAGAAAAGGCCTGTGCAAAGGCCCAGAGGCAGGAAAACATAGCCTGCGTTCAAAGAACAGAAGAGAACCCATTGTGGCCAGGACCTAAGGGGAAGGGGGGGTTGTGGAGGAGAGAGAGGGGGCTGAACCACCAAGAGGGCCTTCTAGCCATGCTGAGGATCTTGGATTTGATTCTAAAGATAAGAGGAGTCATACATGATCAAAGCCACCTGTAATCCCAACTACCTGGGAAGCTGAAGCAGGGAGATTGCAAGTTGAAGTCCAAACTGGGCATGGTGGCAAACGCCTGTAATCCCAGCACTCTGGAGGCCAAGGCAGGAGGATCACTGCAAGTTCGAGGCCAGCCTAGACTACATAGTGATTTCAAGGTCAGCCTGAACTACATACAAAGAAACACAAAAAGTACACACATACATATAGTTTTGTTTGTTTCAGGTACCGGGAATTGAACTCGTGACCTTCAGCTTGCCAGGCAGGCGCTGTGCCGCTGAGCTAAACCCCCAGCCCCTTGTTTGGTTTTGTTTTTGTCTTTTTTGACAAAGGACTCAGGAGAATGTACTAAAAGGAACCTAGAGCGGGCACGATGCGCGTCACCTCCGTCCTGGGCTTGGGCCTTGAGAAGCCCATGGAAGGCTCAGTCTCACCCCCTCGGCTCCAGGCCCCTCCGGCTAGGGCCCCTCCTGGTGCGGACTCTACGGGCGGCTTCTTCCTTTCCCCAGCCTCACCCCTTGGACGCAGACCTAGGAGCCCTAGGGACTGAGGCCCGGGCGGCCCCTCCTCCACGCAGCTGCAGGACAGCGCCTCGCGCCTTCCAGACGCGGGAGGGAGGGAGGTGGGCACTCCGGGGTGAGCGGCCCGCCGAGGGGCCCAGGGGCCTCCCAGGGAAAGGCATGGGGGTGGGGCACGACCCTCTGTCCTCCCCGCCCTGTCCCAGCCCCGCCGCCGTGGGAACCCCAGGCCGGGCTGTAGAGTGCTGCAGTGATGAGGAACATCTGTGCGGGAGCCGTCCGTCCCGGGGCATTCAGGCGGGCTGGGGAGCCTCTTCCGCGGGTCCCGAACCGGGACCAGGACTCGCCCACGGAGCGGGGCGCTCACGAGCCCCGGGCCGGGGAGGGCGTCTTGCCCCAGCCGCGGTGGGCACCGCGCGGAGGGCTCCCGATGGGACATCGCCGGCCACGCACCGCCAGACCCTCCACTGAGCTCGGGGCCGGAGTAGGGCCGGGCGGTGACAGGCATCCGTCCGGGTCCCGGTCCCGGAGGCCCTGCGGCTGGGACCCAGGGGACCCTGGAAAGGGCAGCTTGTGCTCCCGCGGTCCTCTGCAGACCCGGTGCACGACCTCTGCCCGGGCATCGGCTCCACGCAGAACCCAGCCCAGCCCGGCAGGCCAGATGGGACACTGAGGAGGATTTCGGCATCACGCAGGACCCGCGGCAAAAACAGAAAGAGATGCGGGAGAAAGCGCCGCGCCCAGACGGCGAGCGAGCTACACGGGAGTCGAGTGCAGGGTTAAGGAGCCGAGGTGCCGTCCTAAGAGGGGCGGGGCCAGGGCGCTGCCCAGCCCAGGGGCAAGGGCGGGTGTGGGGGCGGGATTCTCTGAGGGGCGTGGCCAGAGGAAAGCGGGGAGAATCAGCGATGACCCCTCTCTTGGTATCAAATCTATCTTAGTTACTTTTCTTACTGCTGAGAGAAAATACCCCATACCTGAAGAAGGAAAGCTTTATTTGGCTCAGTTTGTAGAGGTTTCAGGCAGCTGGCTCCAAGGCAGGGTGGCCCATGGCAGAGGGGTATGGCAGAGGAGAAAGAATCCATGGCAAAGCAGGGTAGGCAGAAGGCAGTGAAGTAACACACAGCAGCCACCTTGACGCTTGAATAACTTCTAATTTGGATTTTTTTGAGGTTTTCCCATGATTCAGTTGAGGTTCTTCATTCTTAGGAAAACGTCACAGAAGTGGTGTCACACCTTTGGGGTGTATCCTCCAGGATCCCTGGTGGTGAGATGTATTTCTGTTGTCCAAGGCAGCATCTGCTGGGCACCTGTGATGTAAAATGACTACTTTACTCTAATTGATTGGTTTTATTGTTTTTGTTTGTTTTATCTTTTGTTGACAATAAGGTCTGCTATGTAGTTCAGGCTGGCTTTGAGCTCACTGTGTGGCCCAGGCTGGCCTTGAACTCGAAGCAATGCTTCTGCCTCAGCCTCCTGAGTGCTGGATTATAGGTATGTGCTACTATGCTCAACCCTTTTTTTGTTTGTTTTTTTGAGACAAGGTCTCACTATGTAGTTCAGACTGGCCTTGAACTCACAGGGATCTGCCTTCCTCAACCTCCCAAATGCTGGGATTACAGGTGCACACCACCATAACTGGCTTACTCTGATTGACTGAGTCCTGGGGATAAACCTAGGGCCTCTCCAATGCTAGGTAAGTGCTTTACCACTGATCTACATTCACAGACTTTTTTTGTTTTTAGGGTTTTTTTTGTTTGTTTGTTTTTTTGTTTTTTTGTTTTTTTTTTGTCTTTTTGAGACAGGGTCTCGCTATGCAGTTCAGGCTGGCCTTGAGCTCACTTTGTAGCCCAGGCTGGCCTCGAACTCGCAACGATCCTCCTGCCTCAGCCTCCCAAGTGCTGGGATTACAGGTGTGTGCCAGCACGCCCGGCTTGTTTTTAGTTTTTTGAGACAGGTTCTCACTATGGAGCCCAGACTGGCATCCAACTTTGTGACCTTCCTGCCCCAGCCTCCTAGGATTATTGGCGTGGGACCCTGCACATAGCCCTGTGAGAAGCTTTTGAACAGACAACATAATCTTATCGTAGGATCCCACTCTGGCTGCCCTGAGGGGAATGTTGAGGACAGAGTGGGAGCAGGGAGACCCTGAAGCAGCGACTGCAGTGACCCTGACCTGGTATGAGGCGATGGAGACCAGGGTAGGTCCAAGATGTGTTTAAAAGTTAGAATTGGCATGCCTGTAATCCCAGCTCTCCGAAGGCTGAGGCAGGAGGATTGTTGTGAGTTCAAGACCAGCCTCGGCTACAAAGTGAGCGTAAGGCCACCCTGAATGCACAGCAAGACCCTGTCTCAAAAAGCCAAAAAAAAAAAAAGAATAAAAAGGGCTAAGGCAGTAACTCACTGGTAGAGCACTTGCCTAGCATGTGCGAGGCACTAGGTTCAATCCCCAACCCAGACGGAGACAGAGACAGACACAGAGACACAGACAGAGACACAGAGACAGATAGAGGCAGAAACAGAGACACCAACACAGACAGAATGTAGCCTAAGATGTGTCTCACATAAAGAAAGAGGGACGAGAGAGAGGAATGGGGGAAGGACAGCTAAGGGAGGACCTGATCAGATCCGGAGGTGGGGGCGGAGATTTCTGGACTCCTCGCCTGCTGTGGACAAGGACACGGACACGGACACGGACACAGACACAGAGGTACCTTCAGTTACAATACAGATGCAGAAATCCTCTTCCTAACACGCTCACACTCTCGCTGCAGGCCACAGAGTGTCCACTAGAGGCCGCTATCTTACCAGCCGTCGTCTCCCACACGCCCAGCTCGCTTTTTTTTCCTTCACGCATGCGCAGACTCTGTTTACCGTGGGAGGGGGCGCCAGTAGCCAGAGCTAGATACGAGTGGGCCCCGCAGGGTTGCGATGCGTGCTGGAGCTCAGCTGCTCTGGAGCCCACTTAGGGCGCCTTGGCAATTCGCTGTCACTCAGGCTCAGAGCTGAAACGGGAAATGAAGGGCACCCAAGACACGGTTCTTCTTTGAGTGTGGCTCCTGCTCCCTGCCCTCTTTTATATAGGGAGTCAGGTTTTGCCCTCTTTTATATAGGGAGTCAGGTTCTGTGGGGCCTCGAAGGAAAACATAACATTTTGCAAATTTTACAGACCACGCACAGAAACCTAGGAGCACAAAGGTACAACTTTTGCCAGGTGCGGAGTTGAAGCATTTGAAGCATCAGTGACTCCCAGGTAAATGTACCTCTGATTAGTCGGGTGTGGTGGCACGCCTAGCTGTAATCCTAGCACTCAGAGGCTGAAGCAGGAGAATCGCTATTTCGAGACCAGCCTGAACTACATAGCCAGATCATGTCTCAAAAAACAGACAAAAGGGGGCTGGGGATTTAGCTCAGCGGCACAGCGCCTGCCTGGCAAGCGCAAGGTCGTGAGTTTGATTCCTGGTACCGGAAAAAAAAAAAAAAAGACAGAAAATGGGCCTCTGATCACAAATAGGAGCATATTTATTTGCTGTCTGCCTCCCACCAAGAATGTGGGTTTCAAGTTATGAGCTTCTTGTAGCCCGTTCCTGGCACAGTCCGGGCACTTTCCGTTGGTCTAATGAACCAGCTGGTTCTCCGGGTAGAAGCTGACAACCACTTAGCCTGTCACTCAGTGCGTGGGTTTGGGATATCTCTGAACCCTCAGAAGAGTGGGCATAGCATTCGTTTGAAAGCTGAGGATGCAGCCAGGGGTAGGAGCACATGCCTGTAACCCCAGCACTCCACAGGCTGAGTCAGGAAGATTGCTACCAGTTCAAGGCCACCGTGAACTACATATTGAGCTCCTGTCTCATTAAACAAACAAACCTGAGGATGCGGAGGGCCAGGGAGGAGAAGCAACGCCCGATCAGAAGGGACTCTGTCTGCTTCCCTCGCTCCCCCTTGGCCCACGGCCATCGTCCTCACCACTCTAA